CCTCATCTCGCTGGAGAAGCGCCGCCGCCTCCCTCCTCCTCCTTTCTTAGCAACGAACTCAACGCCCGCGCTTACGAGTCTTATTGGTAATTGGCAAGTCGTTGCTGCAAAAATTTTTACATATTTGCTCAAATTCCCCTCTTTGAGCTTTTCCCTTTCTTTTATGGGCTATGTTCTCTTCAAATTACATGTAATTTCTTCAATGATTTTTCTATTATTAATCAAAGTTGCGATCTTTTTAAAAAATCAGAGTTAATTCTCAAAGAAGTAGAAAGCTTGTTTTTTTTAGATGAATGCTTTATAATGGAAAATCTTGTAACTAGGGTTTTGACTGGAATGCCAAAAATGGAGGTAAATTATAGAGCAGAGGAGGCGATTGCAGGTAACAGCAGAGCTCTAGAAGCACTGAGGGAACTCATTATTTACCCTTCTCTATATGCCAATGAGGCTCGCAAGCTCGGCATCATGGTTTTTTTTAAAATTAAAATTTTTAATTTTTTCATTAATCTTAGGCAACAATTCAATCAATTTGTTTAAAGTCTTTTTCTTTGCATTTTAGTGGCCCAGAGGATTGCTTCTCTACGGCCCGCCCGGCACCGGAAAGGTATTGATCACAATTATAAGTATTTTTAATTGAGACTTCCACAAAGATTTGATCTTTAATTAATTCGACCTTTTTTTGTTTGTGTGTCTTAGACAACTTTAGTCCAAGCTGTTGTCCGAGAGTGCAATGCACATCTTACTATGATCAAGTAATAACTGAGAATAGTCAAATATGATTCTTTTTGTGACCGTTTCTACTTGTTTATTGGATTAATTAGTTCATGGGTTACTTTTTTTTTGTTTTTTTGTTTTCAATAGCCCGTATTCTGTTCACAAAGCACATGCTGGAGAAAGCGAGAAATTTCTCCGGGAAGCATTCTCCGAAGCTTACTCCCATGCGTTATCAGGGAAACCTTCTGTTATTTTCATAGATGAAATTGATTCTATATGCCCTCGCCGTAACAATAGGTGTGTGATTTGTACTCCATTTAATAATTTGATTCTTACTCCAAATTTGTCGTTTTTTTTAAAAGTTCTCATACAGGAAGGAACAAGAATCTCGCATAGTTGGTCAGCTTCTGACCCTGATGGATGGAAGTAAAACTACGTCAAAATCTCTACCACATATTGTCGTTGTGGCATCAACTAACAGGTTGGTACATAGAAAGTATTTGAAAGACCGCTCCTTAAGTGTTCAGAGTTATAGAAAGATTAAATTTTATTTAGTGAATTCTTGATTGTGCCTTGTTAGGGTCGATGGGATTGATCCTGCACTTAGGAGGCCAGGGCGCTTTGATTCTGAAATTGAAGTCACAGTACCTACGTTGGAGGAGCGATATCAAATTCTTGAGGTGGCAGCTATGAATTCTTTTTCTGCATATTTGTTTTTGCTCTCTATGGAGGCTTCTCTTATTGTGCAGTTTTACTACATCTTCCATAAAATGATTTATAGCTTAAAATAGCAGTTTCTATCATTAGAGAATATAGAGCTCACTGGTGAAGTTAGACACAGTTATCTGGATTGCTACTTGTGAGATTCTACTCTTTTGTTTGATCTGATTTCATTTTGATTTGATCTCAGCTCTATGCAAAGGATCTTCAGTTGAATGATGATGTTGACCTGCAAGCTATAGCTGCATCTTGCAATGGCTATGTAGGTGCTGATCTTGAAGCCTTATGCCGAGAGGCTACTAGGTTTGCATACCGAAGGTTATCAGATACTGGTAAGGATGACAACATAATTAAGTTAAAAATGGAAGATTGGGAATGTGCAAGAACTGAGGTTGGTCCAAGTATGACCAGGGGTGTCAGTAAAGAATTCAAAATGGTTACATGGGATGATATTGGAGGACTTAAAGATTTGAAGGTCAGATAATTTTATACTATGATGAAAACATGTATCTGATATACTTATTCTTCTCTAATTAGATTTCGGTGCCTGCAACAGAAAAAGCTTCAGCAGGCCGTTGAGTGGCCTATCAAGCATGCAGATGCATTTGCTAGACTAGGAATTTCTCCGGTACGTGGGGTTCTTCTACACGGACCACCTGGATGCTCGAAGACAACACTTGCTAAGGCTGCAGCTCATGCTGCTCAAGCTTCTTTCTTTTCTTTAAGGTATTTACTTCTCTAACATAGACTTTTTGATGTTATACCTAGCATTCAAATGTCTTTTCAGTTTTGGACTATTCTAGTAGATAATGTCAATTTTCTTTTTCTTATCTTCTTTTACTTGGGGTGTGTATTATTACATAATAGTCTTGCCCGTAAGATGTGGTTCCTTATTGAAAATCACTAGATTTGTAGAATGTGGATTGCTAATATTATGAAAAAATACTTTGTTTTGATTGCTCATGAAGATAATTTTCATTTATTTGTCAATTGTTAGCAAAGTTGGAGGTTAAGGTGCTGCATACTGAACTGGTTTATTCTGATCTGGCTAATCTTTTTTATGCCCTTATTGATTCTTGATATCGTACGCATTGTATAGTGGTGCAGAATTGTATTCAAAATATGTTGGAGAAGGGGAAGCACTGTTACGTAGAACTTTTCAGAAAGCACGTCTTGCAGCACCGAGCATTGTATTCTTTGACGAGGCTGATGCAATTGCTCCAAAGCGGTATGTAATCAAACTTGTGATCTATTTATGTGGTTCTGTTATAGACCACGATGGAGTAACTTCCATTTATTCTGAAGTCTTGATAATAGGGTTTAACATGTTATCAGGAACCAAAAGTTGACGTACTTTTGACTGTGCCGCGAGTTTTCCTGCATGTTCTAGTCAGTATTGTTTTTGTTTCCTTAATTGGGTTGCATTATATGAGTAGACACCAATATTTAGCAAATTCAATTGAGTTTCTTGGTCATTTTGATAGTGCTCTAATTGAATAAAGCATCTTTGACTATTCCACCCTACTTATTGCACATTATTGATATTTCCCGTAATAGTGGTCATGGTGGAGATTCGAGTGGCAATACCTCTGTTGGCGAGAGACTACTTTCAACCCTGCTGACCGAAATGGATGGCCTAGAACAGGCAACGGTAATCCTGTTTCATTATTTTCTTGATCAAAAAGCAAGGAAAAGTCAGTTCTAAAGAGTTTCTCTGATATGTAGGGAATTATCGTATTGGCTGCTACAAATCGTCCTCAGGCAATTGATGCTGCACTCATGCGTCCTGGCCGCTTTGATTTGGTAGGCATTCATCTTAAATGTACATGCTAATAATTTAGTTCATGACGTTAGCCAAAGATATGACTTATGTATTTGATCAAGACTTCCAGAGTATTTCTGAGTATTGTTTTCATCACTGCAGATGTTATCATTGCAGTTTTTTTTACTGCTTATTCCCTTTCCGCTTGTCTTTTCCTTTTTGTCCTTGTATATTTGTCCGTGCTGCACTTTTCTTCTTGCGATTTCATGTACTTTGAATTCAGAACATTGAACGTAGACTCATTTTCATCCCTCTCCTTGTGGAAACCAAAACAAATTGTTGATATCAACAAAAAAAAAAGAAATAAAATAAAATAAAATAAAATCCTTCAGGCAGGACACCAAAGCAAAGATTCCTCACACCATAGAGATTGGAGACAAGCGCCATGCTGATAAGCAAAGAAATATTATGATACAAGCTTCACTTTCATGCATGAATATTGTCAAATATCTTATACTGATTGTATTAAATTAATGTTAACACATACCATCTTCAGCAGAAACCATTAAGACAATATCTGTATTATTAGCTTTTAGTATCCATTCTCTTATGGAAGATGGATCTACCTTGAGACTGGTCCTTTGATAGTTTGACGTTTTTTGGAATCATTTATCAACATGATATGAATGCTTTAGGTGTCAAATAATAAATTTTGATCATTGTAAACATGGTTCTACTGGTTTTCTTTTTTCCCCCTTAGAAGCAACCGTAACTAACATCATTTTCTTCTTGATTTTATTTAAGAAGTTCTTCACCAAAATAGAGTCATGGAACGATCTGAAACATTCCCATTACATCATGCTTTCCTAGAAAAAAATAATAGTATATCAGAGGTTCAGATACCAGTTCTGACTCACGTTCCTTGAATTATGGAAAAGATCATCAGAAACCAATTCTGCCCCTTTTCCCCCTCAGTAATCATGGAAAAAGACCATCACCATGGATGATGGGCTATGATCTATCAAATTAGCGTATTTGGAAGTTTTCCCTTTATAAGTATGCTGTCTTCTAATCAAAAGCCTCGATTGCTTGATTACCCATATGATGAGATACTCATCTCAATGCTTGAAAATTGTTTCTGTTGCCAATCTTTGAGTATTAGAGATTTCCTTTTTGCGACTTCCCACTATATGCAATATCTTAAGTAAAAATGTTCACTGAAGAAAAACCCTCTTCCTTCTTTTCATCCTTCATGCATGTTCTAAATAAATGTGATGACACTGTAATAGTTGTTTCCCTTTAAGTGCACTGAGGTTGAATGAAAAAACATCTTGGCTGTCCTATGACTGCAAAACAAGCCCATTCAGGTCATCTAGCAGCAAAGTTGCATACTAGCCAAAGCGCTATCCATATCCTCGTCATCATCCATTAACATTGTTTGAAGTTGAGCTCTAGGGAACTCGGAGAAAACTACTTGATTAAAAAGAGCTGCCCACATGCCCAGAAGCCTAATCTTTTTTGCTGCAACGAAATTATACCGTTGGACTTCATCCTGAATATAAACCTCAAATGAGGCACTGATAGCTGTATAGGCTAATTTTTGACTCATATCTATCAAGCTACATAAGGAACCCCCGTTGTTATGATCCTTCTCCTACTGCAAATGCCAGCTACATGAATGGACCTGTAGTCGTCTAAGACATGTAGAGACCATTGGGTTGGGACCCTTATTACCCGAAGCAAGCAAACAAACCATCTTTGGTTATACATGCAACCCTTTACCTATGGATAAACACTGGCCTCTCTCTTGTCTCTAAGTTCGACAAAATTCTGGTAGTAGCTCCAGAGAGAGGAAAAATCACTTGCGCCATCTCTTCGACATATTCTTCCATCGGAATGTGCCCCAATCATGGCTGGGTCTTTCGCAAAGTTTAGAGTGTTTTCTATGTCCAATTAAATTCATAAAATCAATGATCCCATTCCAAACTTAAAACTAGCAAGCTTAATTTATACAGTTATTCATATTTATTCTCTGTAATCAGTTTACTGTTTGTTCCTTGTACTGCTAGTCTGATGATATTTTCTTTGCTATGGATCAGGTATTGTATGTGCCACCACCGGACCAAGAAGGACGTTATGAGATACTAAGGATCCACACAAGGAAAATGAATCTGGGGGAAGATGTGGATCTTATGCAAGTAGCAGAGTGCACCGATCTCTTCACAGGTGCAGATCTAGAAGGTTTATGTACTGAAGCAGGCATGGTTGCTCTCAGAGAAGACATAAGTGCTGGTATTGTATTTGATCGTCATTTTCAAACTGCTCGAAATTCATTGAGACCCTCATTAACAAAGTCTCAAATAGAGGAATACTCCTTGATAAAGTTCCGTCGCTGAGATCACCATTAGGATGTAGGATTGGATTCTTCAGATATATGGATTCCTGCCCTTTCTTAAATGTTGGTACTGGAGAAAGTTTTTTTTTTTTTTTTTTTTTCCTTTTAATTGAATATCCAATGTTATTCCCCGTCTTATTTATTTGCTGTCGTTGGTCCGTGGTGTTGTATGTCATGTTTCCAACAATTTTGCCCAATATTTTTGTGCTATCCCCCGTCTTTTTTGTTTATTGATGTAATGGCTCGTTTTGCCCAATATTTTGGAGTTGTACAATGTAAGTGTTTGTTTCCGGGGGCAATGCGTTGATGAATTGTCGCCCCAGTTTTGTTCTATTTCGGTGGTGATTATTTAAGGTTGTCTTCGTCACCTTTCTTTGGGGAAGATTTTGTTATGTAAGAACGTGGAGTTAAAATAGATGCTTGAACTACTCTTTTCGTCGCATGGTATTATTTAAGTGGGCGTGTTGTCTTGAAAATCAGTAATGAGATTCTAAAATAGTTGTTCCTCCTGCTACCTAAAATCTGATTGGCTGCAGTGTTTTTCGGAAACATATCAGGTATTCACGCAGATGAGGATGTGAACGAAATAATTAACAAATGGCTATTGACTCATTTATATGTTAGTCTGAGTGTGTAGACCCAAAGCTGAATCAAAAAGACGAAGAAAATAGTCTAGGTGTTAGTTGGTCGATCGATGGAGGAGGTCCGGGTCATTCGTGCACCCTGCAGGAAACTGAGCAAAAATATGCTTTCTGGCCGGTCGACCAAAAACATGCACGAGACCCTGTAAATAATTGACTCCTTGGACGGTCGACCGCGGGACAAGGCCCGGTCGACCGGAGTCGGTTTTGGCTATTTCCTAATTCGTTTTGGAAATCTGTTTGATCACGGATCCTATCTATACCTAAACGATTTCAGGGTTTATTATGCATCAGAAAAAGAGAGTTTTGAGAGGATTCTTCGGAGAGATCTCAGAGAAGTTAAATCCTATTTGTGAGCTTGTAATCTTTCTTCAATTAATCAACGGAATTGTGTGATATGGCTCCCGAGAACGTAGACACGTTGCCGAACCTCGTTAAATCTGATGTCTTCTCTCTTGTTTACTTTTCTGCAAGTTTTATCTTTGATTTGTGGTGATTTTTCCTACTTGATCAACTCTCAAACATAAGATCCGGAAGGACACGGATTCGATTTGATTGTTTCGGATCCCCGACACTAATAGCTTTCTATAAGGTTTTGTTCTAAGTAAGAACATTCAGGTATTATGTTATTTTGTACCGACATCTCAAGAGAGGAGGATGATTTACAAAAGGTGATGCTTATTTGCTCTTTGATGCCTCAAAGTTTCAGCATTTTCAATTTTTCTTGTTCTGAATTTTTGAGGATTGATGATATGCGTAATTTTTTTAATTAACGACAATTTTGAAATCTGATACCTCAAAAGTCATAATTTTACAACTTTTGTGCACTTTGGGCATCAAATTGTCAAAATAAGACTTCATGATGTCAAGAGTGAAACTTTGGGTATTAAAAGTTGGCTAGTTAGCACTTAAATACTCTTATCAAGAAGTTTAAAAGCAATATGTTATAGGCAGTTCTATCTGCAATACTGAAACTACAAGGGCAATAAAAACCTCCCTTATATAAGCTCATTGGACTCCTTCCACGTGTAATCTGCAAAAAACCAAAATTTTTCTTGGTAGAAAAGACTCAAAAAATTAAGCAAATAAAGTGAATAATGTGATTTAAGGATCATGTGATGGATACTTGCAGTTTTTTGTCCAAGCATTAATTGAGCAGACCATGATATATATTAGCAGGGCCGTCTCAAGTATTTTTGAGGTTCTAGGTAGAGAAAAATATTTGGGGCCTTAATATTAAAAAAATTTAAATAAGAATTTTTTAAAAATAGATTTTATATAAAATTTAATTTTCTGGCTTTTTGAGATGCAAAGTTACTAAATTTTTATATTAAAGCTTTGATATTAAATCCTTTTCAATTGATAAAATTGTCAAATTATTTAATCTTTCTTGAGACATTGTTGAGCGTAAATAAGATTTTATTAATCTTAATGTTGAAAATTTTCTTTCTGCTGAAGCTATACTAACAAGTATTATTAGTAGTATTCTATAAGCTATCCATGCATTGGGAAAAGAATTTATTTTTTTATAAGGTTTTGTATCTCAAGTGTTGTTTTTAATTCAGGATTTATTATTTCTTTTAAACATTTTAGTTTTGAAAAAAAAATCTAAACCATCAATATCAGATAACATGTATGTTGAGGATCAACATACATGTTGAGTATCAAAGATTAAACAAATATGAAAGATGAGTGAATGAGAAAAGATGAGTGAATGAAAAGAGAAAAAAGGAAGTTAGCAAGAGAAAAAACGCATAAACTATGCATAAACGAGAATGAGTATTTAATATGTGTTTTCTCTTTTTTTACCGTTACAATCTAATTAATTATAGAAATAAAATATAAAAAGTTATAATTAAACTTTACTAGTATCCTTTTCCAAAGATAAAGATAATCAGAGCAATAAATGATCAATTAAAGATAATTTAGAATCCTAACAATAGTCAACTTCTTATATTTCCAAAATATATTTTTTGGGGGCCCCAATAAAATGGGGGCCTAGGCATATGCCTTAGTGGCCTATGCCTTCAGCCGGAACCTAAGCATAACCTAATTTAGGAAACTCTATAGTTTTAACACGAATACATGAAATTGGACTCTTAAATTAGTGCATGGTATATATTCCATAGACTTAGCGAAGTTTTTCCACTACATTGAAATTTAATATTTTTCAATCTCCAATGATAATCTTATTTCCCATATCCACTCAAGATGATTCTCCAAGTTTTGACCACTGCAATGCAATTTCCTTGCCCTTTGGGTATATGCACCTAGAGAAGTACATGACTTGTGTTCCTTATGCTAGTACAGTTAGAAGCATTATGTATGCTATGGTTTGCACCCGTCCTGATATTTCACATGCAATCAATGTTGTGAGTCGGTATATGGATAAGCCTGGAAAGGTCCATTGTATGACGCCCCTGGTTTCACACAAGGCTGCAGTCCAAGGAGAATCCAAGGATGTCAAACCTGCCATGCGCTCATACTGTAGATAGCTGATCCCCGTCAAACACCAATGATGAAAGTTACAATTTAACGATTTTCAAAAGACTACAATTGGAAGATTTTCACGTTAATCGACAAAGGTTACCATTCCATGACCTTCACAACAACTGATAAAAATTATGATTCGACGGCCTTCACAATCAACAACAGGAGTTACAATTAACAAATCCCACATTTCAAAGAGTCAAGAGGAAGATTACACGATGACAACCTTTGCAACACTCTAACAAAAGAGACTACATGTTGATGGTCTCTTCAACTCAAGACGCAGAACTCACCTCTGCGTCCCGAAAAAAAAAGCAACATGCAAAGCTCATTGCTGCGTTCAAAACTCAAGACGCGGAGTTTACACCCGCGTTCCAAGAACAAAACGCAAGGTTCACCACTGCGTTTTTAGCCCCAAACGCGGAGCCCAACTCCGCGTCCGAAGTTCAAGATGTAGAGTCCAGTCCTAGAGCACATATTTTGCGTTTGACTCATTCAAACACGAGTTGAACGGTTCCAAAACTGTTTTGCATGACTTGAGGAGATCACAACCCCACTAAGGAGCGATTTTAGGGGTTAGTTACACCTCTAGAACCCCTATAAATAGCGAGAAACTCAGCTGAGTTCGGGATCTTCTTCGGCAAGAGCTTGTGGGGGATCGACATTTTATCTTCTCTTGGAGCATTTTTGGCGAGAACTTGTGATAGATCTTTCGGCAATAGAGGGCTTGGAGACTTCGAATCTTGGAGAGCTTTGAGCATCTTTTGGATCAGATCTTTGGAGCTTCTTTTCGTTTCCTTGGCTTGTGAACCAATTTCGGTTAGATCAAATTAACTCTTTGATAGAGTTTTAAACTCGTTCTGAGTTCTTTAACTCGTTAAGAGTTTTAACCTTTCTTCGCAAGTTCTCCTCAACGTCCAACTAAGAGGAATAGATCGTATTCCACGAGTCAAAATGTTCAGATCGTCCAGAGATTATAAGACTCAAGCTCCCACCGCCACCAAGAAGAACCCAGGTTTAAACAAAATGAAAGATCTCCGTCGATTCTTTCCTTCTTTTATAATTCGGGAAACCGATAAATAAGATTGTGATTTTTTTCTAAGTCAGTTAGAAAGAAAATGCAAAGAGAGATTGTATTCATTCTTTTTCTAAGTCAGTTAGGGAGATAAATACAAGATTTCATTCTCATTTCTTCTTTAATTTTCCCACGAACAATGTGTTTACGATAGGGGTGTAATATTAATGTATCGTACTGACATCTTTGCTGAGGAAAATGTTGTTAGATCAAACTGGTAGAGGTGTAATGTTAGCATAATTTTGATCAAGCTGACTATAGGGTCTCCAAAGAAAGACAAGACGACTGGTTCTTCAATTGTTTAGTTGTGAGAAATGATTCTATCGCCTAGTAAGAATCTTTTTACAGTCACTCTTTTTCAAGTACAGAAGAGGAGAAGATTGATTCGACTTCCCCTTTGTTTAACGTGGGTTCGATGTGGTGATGAGATGCCTCGCTCGTTGCTCGTGTCGAGCTTACTTCTCATTGACGACCGGAGCAAAATCGCTTCAACTCAAGGAGAAAATAGCCTCTTTTAAGTGCTTGAGCTGCTTGCGCCTGCTGTTGACCTTTGACACTTGTGCGTCTAACTCTTGGGTCTCAAGATCTAATAAATGTTCTATTTAGATGCATTAAAACATTTATCGGGTTTGGACCTCCACCCAAACCTAAAAAATCCATAGTGAATATGAGTAAGTCCATGTAGAAATTTGTAATCCACTTGATTGCTACTGATACTAAATATAGTGATGCTAAATATTTCTTGTTAGAAACCTTTATCATGCAAACTCAACCTACTGATCAAAATTGATAAGTGTCAATACACCATGCAACCAGTTATATACACAAGTAATTATGTAAGAGATTATGACACCTATAGTTAATTTATAGATTAATTAAGACTGTTTTGCTTTCCTTTCAAGGCAGCTTATATCGCATTCGTATGATACGTTATATCACTACTAAAAAATTAGGCATCCTAGACGGAAAATTCCGTCTAGGATACATAGAATTCCGTCTAGGATGCGTATCCTAGACGGAATTCCGTCTAGAAAGTTTCCGTCTAGGATGTAGTATTCTAGACGGAAATTCCGTCTAGAATATATCCTAGACGGAATATTCTAGACGGAATTTAAAACCGTCTAGAATACATCCTAGATGGATTATTCTAAACGGAATTTCCGTCTAGAATAAATTATCGTAGACGAAAAAAAATTCCGTCTAGAATAAGTATTCTAGACGGAAATTTCCGTCTAGAATACTCATTCTAGACAGAAATTAATATTTTTTATTTTTTTTTAAAAAGACATCCTAGACGGAATTTGAGCATCCTAGACGGAATTTTCGTCTAGGATACTATGCTACAGTAATTTTTTTTTGCTTGGTTAGGAATCTACTTTGTGCATTGAAGAATTAAGCCAAAAAATTGCAAATAACAACGTTACTAATTAATTCACAGAAAATAAGTGCAATTCGAATGATACATATTCACAAAAAAAATGCAAACGAACGCGCAATCCGAATGATACACGTTCACAGAAAATACAGCAAGTAGCGTCATTATGGCTGTATTAGCATTACAAAATCAGTCGCATGACAATGAGAAGAATCAAATATACATTAAGAATCCAATTTATTCTCCTATGGTGGTGGATGAAATAGCCAAACTGCCTACACTTTTGGAACACAGAAAACCTCCACAGCATCAGAAGCTCCAAATGATAAGAATCAAAACCTGGCGCACACAACCAAATCATAAGAATCGTAAGAATAGACATTGGAAATGTAAACAAAATCAAAACCAATGTAGTTGCATAGAGCAGGTTATAGATTGTATCAGAAATAATTAGCATTTGGGCACAGAACTTCAAAAATCACATATTGTATCAGCTGACTTAACTACATAGCTGTTATTGATAAAAACCACCAAGAAATAGAAAGGAAATAATCTTACTCCAAAAAATTGATAGTCAAAAATTAGTGCAAAAACCCGGACACTGGTTGGTCTAGAAAGCCACAAGTTAGCTAAATGCAAGCTGTATACTAGAGGCCAATCAAAGATAGATACTCCCAAGTCCTAATTATAACTCTTGAAACCAATGTTTGCTAGTACTCAGACGGCGGGAAAAAAAAGGGCAGCTATAGGGAATTAATAAGCTTTACTCACATGTTGCCCTCCTTGATATCGTCATTAGTGTGCTTATATAAGATTGATGCCAAAACATTGTATGAATGTTTAGAATATTTAAACTTACTATCAGGCAGGCATAAGCAAAAGAGGGTTAATTGTGCATAACATATATTGTTTTATACACATTTTTAGCAGATTAAGAATGCTATTTGTCGGACATAAATGGAAAGGTTCTTCACCTTAAGTGCTTAATTGCATATACATACTGTTAGAGAATGATAACTATAACTTTTACATCAAATTTTGGACGTTGTTAAGGGACATCTGGAGGTGAAAGGTTAACTTTAGCTTATAAACACAAGATAAATTTATTTTTTGTATAATAGTGAGACCTATATTCTGAATTTTCTAAATGGGTAGAATTACACTGATGGACAGACGCACATGTATATACAATTACAAATTCCACACTTACAACAGAAGTGCGTTTCAAGGTTCATGATCATAATAACTTTACCTTCCAGTTGTCGTTATGCTAGACTACTACATCATTATCATATCCATCACATCAATTATAGCTAAAATACCCTCTTTGCTCTAAGGTGCATATCTGTGTTTTGGTGTGTGTAATTATAATTTGATGTAGTAACCCCAGAAAATTCTGGCAGATACCAATTAATTAATTTGGTTACAGAAGTCATACCTCCACCTCTAAGCTCCATAATTATATCATCAAGTCCTTTAGTCTTCATGAGATCCTTGTGGACTAAAAGTGTCTCCTGCCAAGTAAAGAGAAGTACATTTAGGTCAAGAGTCAATTGAAGCACAAAATTGATTAAGTCCAACATCCTATGTTCATTATAGGTAAATAAGTTGTTAAGCTCCAAGCGCTAAATATAGTAGATTATTGTTAACAAATTAAAATTTAAACCAAAGTGTACCATAGCATTACAGGCTGCAGGATAATCTATCTTGGCATCTAAAACAATGCGCTTTGCCATATCCATATTAGCTGATTTGTCAACATAAACATGACAAATTCCATCTGGACAATACACACTGAAACATTACTATGGTCCTCAAATTCATAATATCAGCGTTACATGAGCAGTGCAGTTCATGAGTAGGATAACACGAAAGGTTGCAATAACGATCACAACTGAATGGGAATAAAGAAAAGCTCACCAGCATGACCTAGAACAGGAATCTTGGTAGACTCCTTTATTTGAGATACCAGTTTGTTGCTGCCTCTCGGGATCACAAGACCGATCACATCATCAAGCTGAAAAGAGCTTGAAATTATGTAGTGAGGAATGTAATCTTACACATTCTGTATAAACTCCATACTCACCCTTAACAGATTAGGAATGTCATCTCTTGATGTTACAAGCCCGATAAGCTTTTTACCAACATTATCAGGAATGGATCCAACAATCACCTAACAAAAAATAGAGACTGTTTTTCAGGAGGCAGAGAAATTAAAGTGTGCAAACTAGATAATTTTCATGACAACAACACTTGCTTTGATATTGACCATCATACGTTAGGAGCAGTCTCGACCTTCAACAATAAACTCACCTACCCTACTTCATCAAGTAAATTCTAGGATGTTGATAAAGCGGAATTGAAAGGGCCTTAATCAATAAATTGTTGCTCTCACATACATGTAGCGCATTGAACAAGTAATCCCAAAATTTTACTACCAACAATTACCATGAATATGATATAGAAATCTAATTCTTTCACAAGACAATCTCAAATCTAAATCATGTTTATTCTGTCGGTGAACCTGTTCGCCGCCAGCTCCGCTACTTCGAGGAGCTTCAGGGACCCGAAGGCGGGCGGACTCAACTCGCCCGAGAGGGAGTTCGACCGCAGGGCGAGGACTATCAGGTTCGTGGGCAGAGCGGCCGGGACGGAGCCGGAGAGCCGGTTGAAGCTGAGGTCGAGCGACGCGAGGGTGGACAGGGTTCTAGGGGGGAAGGCAGGGATCTCGTCGGAGAGCTGGTTGTGGCTGAGGTCCAGGGTCTCGATGGCGGCGAAGCCGGCGAAGGAGGGCGGGATCCCGCCGGAGAAGGAGTTGGAGGAGAGGGAGAGGGTGGTTAGGGAGGGGAGGGAGGAGAGGGAGGGCGAGGAGAGCTCGCCCGAGGTAGCCGGCGGTGGCAGCGGTGATGGAAGGAGAAACGGCCCGTGCGGTGCATGTTAGGTTTGGGTCTCTAGATAGGGAGGCCGGCGTTGTGCGAGCGAAAGGAGCGGAGGGGAAGAAAGCAATCGCGGTGCGGGGAAGAAGCTCAGTTTTGGGGGAGCTAGGGATTTGATGGCAGATGGAGTTTGAAAGTTGAGGATTTGGGGGGTTGGGGGGGGAGGAAAATTCGATTTGGGGACGAAAATTTGGATTTTGGGGGGGAACGGAGGGCAGCGGGGGTTTTGAGGGGTTAAATGTTTTTTTTTTAAATGGGCACGTATCCTAGACGGAAATTTCCGTCTAGGTTATCAGGATTTTTTTTAAAAAAATTAAAAAAAAATCCATCTAGAATACTATTCTAGACGGAAATTTTCGTCTAGAATGTTTTATCATAGACGGAATATTCTAGACGGAAATTTTTCGTCTAGTTTAATACATTCTAGACGGGAAAATTTCCGTCTAGAATATTTCGTCTAGGATACGTGAATTTTTACTAGTGTATATAGCATCAGTCTTGTTATATGGACCAAAACAACATTAGTCTTATTATACTACAAATTAAGAAAAATCATAATTTGCTATTCGTTCATCATATATGATACTTGGTATCTTGAAGACACTCTAAAGCATTATAGTGTGGAAACGGTTCACACTTGCAAATATTGTCAAGAATAATTTTTATTTTACTTTTTCACTTCTTCTTACTTTACTCTTTATGATGATAGCTTGTTGTGCGCCGCGGAAGTCCCAAAATAGACAATACAAAAGCACACACAAGAACAATAGTAGACCACAATGCACACAAGCCAACCAATCACAACAAGAACACAAGATATACGTGGTTCGGCAATGTGCCTACGTCCACGGGGCAAGGAGCGGGGGGGGGTGAGTTTCGACTAATAGAAATCAAGGGGAATACAAATTAGGGTTACAAATCTTACCCAAAACCCTCAAACAAGATCACTTGATCTCTCCAATAGACTCCAACAAAAGAAGCCCTAGAAAATCCCCTTTGGCAGCTCAAAACCTCCAAAACTTAACCCTAAAATCGAGTTTAGGGTTTATATACAAGTCACAAGAAAACCGGGTCTGGAAACTGACCCAGACCCAAAACCCGCTGGCCGGTCGACCGCAGTGACACTGCCGGTCGACCGCAAATTATCCCGAGAGCTGGGAAACTCCTGGGCTCGATCGCGGTCGACCGCACTTGGTGCTGCGGTCGACCGCCAAAAGTCCAGAGCCGAAACTGACTTCTGGCTCTGGTGCGGTCGACCGCAGCACCATGTGCGGTCGACCGCCAAATCTCCAGCTGCCTGTGCACATCTTCTTTTGACTTTTTCCCGCCAACTCTACAAATCTCCACCTCGGCAAACGTTTTTCATGCTAAAACTGAGCCGACACCAAAACACCCCCAATCAACTTCAACCGGCTGCATCTGCAAGACTGCCTACGTATCCTCTTGCCCAAGGAATCAAGCCGAACGTAGTTCACCCCGATGGCCGCCAACGACCTCAACAATGAAGAATGTTCAATAAATTCAAATAGTGACCAAACTTTACACCTGGTACAACTTTGGTCAACATATCAGCAGGGTTATCCTTAGTGTGGACCTTCTCCAACGTGACATCACCATCATCCAATACGTCACGTACAAAGTGAAATCTGACATCAATGTGCTTCGTGCGTGCATGGTAGACTTGGTTCTTTGCCAAATAGATAGCTGACATACTATCACAATGTACCTGAATCGTCTCCTGTGCAATCTCCAAATCATCCAACAAGCCATGTAGCCACAAAGCCTCCTTCACTGCTTCAGTCACCGCCATATATTCCGCCTCCGTAGTAGAAAGCGCCACTGTAGACTGAAGAGTACATCTCCAACACACCGGTGCATTAGCCAATGTAAAAACATAACCTGTAGTGGACCGATGCTTGTCAAGATCTCCGGCATAGTCTGAATCCACGTAGCCAATACAATCTTACCCTGTCTCATCATTCTTCACAAATATCAACCCAACATCCACGGTACCCTTAATATACCGTAGAATCCACTTCACGGCCTCCCAATGCCCCTTTCCGGGGTTATGCATGTACCTAGATACCATGCTCACGGCCTGTGACAAATCTGGCCTAGTACACACCATAGCATACATCAAGCTACCTACTGCACTGGCGTATGGAACTTTAGACATGTAGTCCCTATCCTCCACTGAAACTGGTGACATCAAAGCTGAAAGCTTAAAGTGGGGAGCTAATGGAGTACTCACCACCTTGGTATTGCCCTCAAAACTGAATTTCTTCAGCATCTTCTGTAAGTAACTCCTCTGTGTAAGCTTCAATCTCCCCTTCACCCTGCCTCTCTCAATCTCCATACCCAGTATCTTCTTAGCCTCTCCCAGGTCCTTCATCTCAAATTCAGATGACAGCTCCTTTTTCAATTTTTTTAATAGCTGAAGTGTTCCTGGAAGCTATGAGCATATCATGATCAACATACAATAACAAATAAATGTGTTCACCATCCTGTAGCTTGCGCATATAAACACACGGGTCATAAGGGCTCCTCGTGTATCCTCGGCCAATCATAAAACTATCAAATCTCTTGTACCACTGTCGCGGTGATTGCTTCAGCCCATAAAGAGATTTTATCAATTTGCACACTAAATTTTCCCTTCCTGCAGCTTTAAACCTCATAGGTTGTGTCATGTAGATCTCCTCATCTAAGTCTCCATGTAGAAAGGTCGTCTTCACGTCCATTTAGACCTAATCTAAGTCCAGGTGTGCCACCAATGCCAATAGTATCCGAATCGACGAATGCTTCACAACGGGTGAAAACACCTCATTGTAGTCAACGCCCTCAAACTGTGCATATCCCTTGGCAACCAATCTGGCCTTGAACCGAATGTCCCCAATAGAAGATCCCTCCTTCTTAGCATACACCCACTTGCAACCAATAGCTTTCTTACCCTTAGGTAGCTGTGCAAGTTCCCAAGTGTCGTTCTTCTGAAGAGATTGCATCTCCTCCTCCATAGCATTCCTCCACCTAATGGAATCTGGGCTGGACTCTGCCTCCCTGAATGTGGCAGGAATAAAATCATCAACGACCTCCACCGATAAAGCATATGCCACCATGACATCATCATATCTAGCTGGCCGACGAATCTCTCTCCTCGGTCTATCTGCTGCAATGGACCCCTGAGCATGACCCTGCTCCTGAGCCTCACCATCCACTGTATCCCCCAAATACCCGACTATCATCTCAACTCCTTCCTGTGTCACCTCTGTAGGAGTCTCTATGGGAACAATGACAACTGGAGTGGGTGGAGTCACATCATCCTCCACCTGCTGCGATATCCCTCCTGTCTGATCTTCCTCCACCTGCTGAGGAACTTGAGGCTTCATCATGTACGCCTCATCGAATGTGACATCTCTGCTAATGATCATCTTTTTGTCTTGTGGATCCCATAATTTAAAGCCTTTTACACCTTCTCTAAATCCCACAAAGATAGTCTTCCTCGCTCTCGGATTCAACTTCCCATCACTAACATGGAAATAAGCTGGACACCCAAAAATCCGAAGAGTCTCATAATCACTAGCCACAGAACCAGACCAACGCTCCAAAGGAGTCTTTCCCTCTATCGCAGTGCACGGCAACCTGTTAATGAGATGGCTCGCATAAACTAACGCCTCGGCCCAAAAAGATCTAGCCAATCCACTCTGCATCATCATACATCGCACCTTCTCCAGCAACGTACGGTTCAGCCTCTCTGCCACCCCATTCTGTTGTGGTGTCTCTCTAACTGTGAAATATCTTCTAATGTCGTGATCCTGGCAAAACTGCAGAAATGGATCACTCTTGTACTCTCCACCATTGTCTGAACGAAGAGTCTTCACCTTTCTACCTGTCTGCAGCTCCACTTTCTTCTTCCACTCCACAAATATATCCAGGACCTCATGTTTATGCTTCATGGTATATACCTAATTCCTCCTGGAATAATCATCAATGAAAGTGACGAAATAATTTACCCCACCAAGCGATGTGTGCTTAGAAGGGCCCCAAACATCTGTGTGAATGTAGTCTAATATACCTTGGGTGTTGTGAATTGTGGTGCCAAACTTTACTTTAGTCATCTTCCCAAGTATGCAATGCTCACACAGATCTATCTTGCAGGTCTTTGCACCTTTCAGTAGCCTCTGTTTTGCCAATGACTATAGGGACTTTTCACTTGTGTGTCCAAGCCTCATGTGCCATAGTGTGGTTGTAGGCGTATAAAACTGCCTATAGGTCCCTACGAACGGCTCAGTGCTAAGAAAAGATGATGAACGTCATAATCTAAGTCACAGGAGCTTGATTAATGTCGACAAACACATGAAGTGGGTTGACGAACTATGTGAAGAAACGGAGTTTCAGAATAATGAGGATACGAACGGATCGGGAGCCCCGTGTCACTTACAAAAGACGAAATACCCTTCGTGTCTCATTTATTCCACAGATGATCTAATCATTGGAGCTTATAGAAATCCTCATCGTCTTTCCAACGCACTTTGAATCGCTTAAATCCGAGTTCGGATGAAAAAGTTATGGCAAAAATGAACAAGTGTGCAAAACAAAATGTCTCAGCCCGAGCCGAGACACCCAAAGGTGTCTCGGAACTTGTGGAGCTATTTTGACCATGATCCCGTTTGAATCTGAAGAAACTCAAAACAGGAACATTGTAGATATTTTTGTTAACTTTCCAACCCATCTGGAATCAGGTCATTTGGAGGTCATATGAGGAAGTTATGCCTAAAATAGTGCCGAGACACCCAGAGGTGTCTCGGACCTGGCCGAGACACCCAAAGGTGTCTCGGAACTTGTGAAGCTGTTTTGACCATGATCCCGTTTTAATATGAAGAAACTCAAAACAGAAAGGTTGTAGATATTTTTGTTAACTTTCCAACCCATCTGGATTCAGGTCATTTGGAGGTCATATGTGGAAGTTATGCCTAAAATAGCGCCGAGACACCCAGAGATGTCTCGGACCTGGCCGAGACACCCAAAGGTGTCTTGAAACTTGTGGAGCTGTTTTGACCATGATCCCATTAGAATATGAAGAAACTCAAAACATAAAAGTTGTATATCTCTTTGTTAGCTTTCCAATGCATCTTGGATCAGGTCATTTGGAGATCATACGAGAAAGTTATGTTCAAAATACCCGAGACACTCACAAGTGTCTCAGCCTGGCCGAGCCACCTGGCCGAGCCAGCTCGGATCTGGGCCCAGATCTGGGCCCAGATCCGCTTTCAATGCCTATAAATAGAGGGCTGTAGGCTCATTTTTGAAAGGTTGGATTTTTTGGAGGCGAAGCCCTGCTGGAGTGAAGACTCAGATCTAAAAAAGATTCAAACTTTGGGACTTCGAGGACTTGCACATCCAGATCTGGTGCTCGACGATCATCAACGCCAAATAAGGCAAGAGTTCGAGAGGACCGGATCTCAGATCTACGCAGGCACACTCCGGATCAAAGCTTGGCATTTGATCCCGAGATTTGGGCGATTGTTTCCTTGGTGGACCAATCCCCCCCGGCTATTATTTCCTTCGTGAAATAATACCCGTCGTACTGCGTAGATCCGACCGGATCTAGATCGCGCGGTGGTCCACGGATAAACCCCGGCGCAGGCGAAGAACCCACAAAGCGAGCGACCGCAAAACAGGAGCTCGTGATTTGTTCGACAAACAAGGATAAAAAGTTGTAATCTTTCTTTTATTTTCTTTGATTTTCATTGTAACCGGATCTTATAAAAAGACCGGATCTTTGTAACTTAAAAAGCTGTTATTTAAGATGGCAATGGAATCAATTACAAAGAAAGACACGATTTTTCCCGCGAACAGTGGTAGTGTCCTCCTCTGTGATAATAGAAGCTGCCAGACCCCCTGTAACTGTCTTGCCCTTTAAGTAGTATAGGTTGTTTTCCCTGACACCTCGCATCACCACCATAGAACCCTTCATAACCTTCAAACTAGCATCTTTTAAGATCACTCTATACCCGGATGCCTCCAAAGTCCCAAGAGAAATGAGGTTCTTCGACAACTGCGGCACGAACCTCACATCTTTCAATTCCCTAGTCACCCCGTCATGCATTCTGATTCTGACTGAACGAACCTCACATCTTTCAATTCCCTAGTCACCCCGTCATGCATTCTGATTCTGACTGAGCCAATCCCATTAATAGGACAAACGTGATTGTTCCCCATGAGCACCACGTCTCCTCTCTTCAACTCCTCAAAGTTGGTAAACCAATCCCTCTTAGGGTAAATATGAAATGTAGCTCCCGAATCAAGCATCCACTCCGTAGAGTCGGCATAACAAACTGACGGCAGTGCGGGACAAGAATAACCGGAAGAATCTGAATCTGAAATGTCGCCAACAACCTTAGCAACATTAACCTCTGAAGCTTGTACAACTTTCCCCCTTTGCTTCCCGGCTCTATCCTTCAACTTTGGGCACTCATTCTTCCAATATCCCTCTTCTTTACAAAAGGCACATTGATTTCTACCAATACTTTTATGGCCACCCCTATTCTTTGAATTTGAGCGGTTGAACTTTTGGCGGTTTGGACTACGGCCACGAACTGCAAGTGCATCACCTGATGCCTTCTCGGAGGGCTCACAATCATTCTTCCTCAGCTCATAATTCACCAATGCCGAGGTCACCTCCTTGTAGCTAACTGTAGTTCGCCCATTAATCATAGTGAGAACAAAGGTACTAAATTCATCATCCGGCAACAAACACAATAGTAACATCACCTTGTCTTCATCCTCCACCATGATATCAATATTGGCCATATC